CAAAAAAAAAAAAAGAACTTTGCTCCAAGTTGTTGCAGCTGAAGTATCATGACTACTTTAAGATTATTGCACCCAAAGTTGCCAAATGATCATATATGCACCAAAAAACTATAAAACAAGTATAAAAATATTTTGGAATAGTATGTGTTGTAAAATTCTAAGATTCTGCAGAATTCAGTCAGGAAAAACAGAACCATTTATTGAAACTTCTCCTTTTTCTATCTTCAAGCATGTTTATACATGAATTATAGGATCAAGCAAATGACCTCACATGATTGCATACCTTTGGTATACATTCATAACCTCCACCAGTGACATTCGACAGGGCCAGAGACGAAACTCTTTCAGGCACCATGGCAGCAAACTTACAAGCAATCATACCACCTGCATTATTTTAATAAATGACCCGAAAAAAATAAAAAAAGCAGAAGGCCTGACACAACCGAACGAACTTGACTCATATATGCTTGCATTAGAACTAAGATTTCAGATAAGAATTGTTACTAAAACATGGATAGTAGCGTCATTAATGAGCTTCAGAATTTCGTGATTTTGTAGAATCATTTCCTTGTAAGGTTACGATTATTGAAAAACAAAACAAGCTCAAACCATATTTGACCCAGCCTTACTTTAACTATTCACGAGTGATTAATCACCTCCTTGAATAACATTTGTCAAGTTCAATATCAGGGGACAAAATTAGACTTTCAGGCGATTGATTCGAATCGACAACACAAACTAAATTCAAGTCACTTACTCACCCATTGAATGGCCAAATACATGAGCTTTTCCCCACCCCAGATGATCCATTAGAGCTATTGCATCTTTTGCCATAATTTTCGTCCTGCAAAGTATACACTTTACGCATTAGCTAAACTAGCTAATTTTCATTAGATATGTGACCCAAAAGCTTTATTCAAGAATCTTTGATTTGATATATATATATATAAAAACAAAAACAAAAACGCAGGCTTGACATCTAAATAACCAGAAAATAAAAAAGGAAAGTCCGATAATAAAAGGTAAATACACACGAATAGTCGGATTTTTTCTTGGGAACGGAGCTCCGACCCATTCCACGATTATCAAATGCGCAAATCTCCACGCCGGAAACCCCGCCGCCGCTCTCGCCGCTCCGATCGCCGGTGTCCGGCGATTCGTCATCGTTCGGTGTTACTGTCCCGACCAGGCCCTCTATCTGAGGATTCCACGAATCATGGGTCCCAGCCAATCCTGGAAATTAATCACCGATATTTTCAATCCAAAAGCCCATTTCAGAACAATTACAGAACAAGAGAAGCCACCCCATTCGGATTCCCAATCGAAAAACTACGAGAGACCACAAAAACACTCGATTAAAAACACATTTGGGAAGACAACAACAGAACAGTTTCTAAAAACGAGAAGGTAGAGAAGGGGAAACGAAATGCTTCACCGATGATCATGAGGACTTTGACGGGTCCTCGGCCGTAGGTTCTGTAGAAAAGCTTGATACCGCCGCCGTTACTATTCGTTGCGTCCCCATCTTTGTTGCCGTGCGCGTCCACGTAGCAGAACGGCATTTTCAACCTGTGGCCGTCTGCAGATAATTTGGGATTACAATTCAAGAGACACAGAACAAGTTGTGATGGTCAAATGGAAGAATGCGAAGAAGCTGTAATGGTGGAGTTGCTGGTCCGTTGTATACCACACGCCTGCAAAACGTGCTGCAATTTTCAATTTTTCACTATCTTTTTCTTTTTTTTTTCATTTTTTATATTATATTTTTTTCCTTTTCTACGTCTCACATGCTGAGTTGATTAAATAAATTGTAAGTCAACTTAATTACTTTTTCATAAACGAGTTAATATATGTTTCTTTTAATTTCCTTAATTAATTGGATTGAGTTGTGAGGTGTTTGGTACGTGGCAGATAGATTGAGGAGGTCGGCTTGTCCTTACTCGATTGTCGGCTTTGGGCAGCTCAGGACCAAGTCAAAAGTAGTCATAATGATCAATTTGTCCAAAAAGATAGCAAGAAAACCCGGTTATTATTGTTTGAGTCCAACTAAGGTCGGTCTCAAAACATCAATGGATTTCACGATTATCAACCATTAAATTCATCTTTGTAGTCTTCTAAAGTCTCATGGCCTAGGCCTACTAGAGTTTATTTACGTTTGAAAAAAGTACCTAATTTTGTGGTACCACTAATTTTCTTTCAGGCATCGGCTCCGAAAATATTGAATCCACATACATTCGAAAAATATAATAAGTGATCGTGATTTAAGTCATTTGACAGCTTACATCAATAGAAAATGCCCACAAGGTAGGATCAATTCTCTTAAATTTGCCATGTAGACATTATTAGCTTAATTTTATTACACTTGCATAATACTAATTAATACTTTCTAATAAATTTAGTTAATGAGTGTGGGGGAGGATAAGTCCGATTCATTAGACTAAGGAAAAATTTTAATTTCTGGCTGTGAATCATTCTTGCTCACGGAATTGAGTTGGGACCACGAATTTATATTTTGAGTAATCAGGCCCAAAAGGCTGAATTGAACCTGAAGTGGATCAAGATAAAGGCCCACCCGGTAACGTGACCAAAAAAAGGCTGATAGAAGCCTCGTATCAAAATCAGGCTCCACGGCCAAGCCCAAGGCACAATTCTGGGCCCACCAAAATTGGCAATTTGCTCATCAACGGGATTAATTATATAGGATAATTTAAAGATTCATCCTACATACAATCATCAGCTACAAATAAATACTGTAATCCTATGAATTTTATGTAGGAAGATCGCAATCCTATATGATCAAATCATGAAGTAGTATGCCAACAGTCCTAAACAAGCATCATTGACTGTTTGCTTTTTGCTCATTCCTTTTTTTGTTTTTGTTCGATTAAGTGCATATAAATCATGAAGACGAAGATATTGCCGTCTGAACGTACCATAACATGTGAAAGCAATGATTTCCGTTGCTTTCTGAGCTGCAAAAAGTTGTGTACCTGTTTATACAAACAAGGGGGCACTCGAAATTTTGAATTTTCAAATAATCGCATTTTTCTCTTCGCTTGATAACTACTTAGTCCACTGCAGCCGATGAGTGAGTTTCTCATGCCATATTCCTGTTGCTCGTTCATTAACAAGGCAAAAAAAACGAAGTTCATTGAGATTATAGAAAATAATGAAAATAAAGAGATAGAGATGAAAACAGTTATCATACTTTTAAACACAAGCATGCTGGTCCTATACACAGTTTTAGTCGCAACGGTCTCCTTTGTTTAACCAGTTATAAAACAGAACCCACTTTCTGAAAGCACATTTTTCACATTGAAAGACAAATAGGAGAGCAAATGGACGTGAAGTGCGCATACCTAAACATTAGAAACAAAAACCTGCTGATTTTGCATGCCAAGCTCGATTCTAGAACGAAACAGCAGCAAAAGACGAATCAAGTTGTGAGAGTTAACAAGAGAGCTGCTAATATATAGCTTTCTGTTTGTGTCTATTTCTCAGTTCAGATAATCTCCTCTGCAGAGGATATTTTTCGTCTTTCATTCCCATTTTGTTCACAAAATGCACCATTTTTGTGAGTGTTTCCATAACCTCTTCGCTATCACTGCCAAAAGCTTTTTCCTGAATCTTCAAAACTCTCTTGAGCTGGCCCAACAACAAACTGTCATCCTTCTCCATTCGTGTCTGAATGGACACCAAACAATCGAGAGCCTCTCCTGTTAAAAACAAATGATGCACACAGATGATTTAAAAAAAGAAAGAAGGAAAGTATAAGGGAGAACAAAAGATGAAAAATGGAACTGCCCTTAATGATTAAAATCACACCAAGCTGTGGGAGAATTGATGGTGGAGTCCTATAATGTCAGAATTTTGATTTAATTTTGTTTTTGAGCTTTCAATGAGATAAGAGGGTGTGGTGAGGCATAAACTACAATTGAACTTTGGTCTAATCACATATGTTCAAAGATTACATGTAACCCCGTACATTGTTATGCAGGCCCACATGAGAGAATGGGGCTTTCTTAATTACGCGCTCATTCATAAGAGTGCAGTTCGGAAAAGAAATTAATATCAATAGGTATTTTCATAGTTTTGACTTTTGAGAGGCAGCCATGTTTTTCTAAGTTGTTATAATACATTTTATTTATACTTAGTACATAGACACAAGAATAATATAATCCGGCATATTCACCCAACTGCACAGATTTCATAAATTGCTTAGGATGCTTGGATATAAAAATTTTTGGATTTGTTTGGATTTTTTGGTTTAGTTTGGTTAATTTTGAAAAAGGTGGTATGGTTAGTTGTTAGTGGGTATATTAAAATAATATTTAAAATAAAATAATTAAAGTTGATTTGATGTAAAAGTATGAGAGAGAGATTCGAAGTGATGGTTAGTTAAAATGAGTGGATGAATAGTGAATTAAGGTTGATATGATATGTAAGAATGATTGGTTGATATTATTTAATTATATTAATAATATTAATGATAGTTGGGTTGAGTTAAAGTTGAGTTAAAAAAAATGGTTGAGTTAAAAATATTTGGATTTTTTGGATAAATTTTGTATCCAAGCATCTTACCGACTGGTACCGAGTCCTTCCCAAAAGCTTTTTCACGGAGGTCTAAAACATCCATTGTAAGTCTTTCAGCTTCTTCATCACGGTGCAGATTGAAGAGAGTAACAGCCAAATCTAGCATGGGAAAGGTAATTGATGGGTCATCAGGGGCCACATTTTTCTTCATAATCTGTAAACTTATCCTCAGCAAGCGCTCGGCCTCAGCATAGTTCTTAAAGCGTGAATAGGAGGTTGCAAGATTCACAAGGTGGGGAACTAAACTGGGATCATCATTCCCTTTAGATTTTTTCGTAATTGATAAGCATTCTTCTAGCAGGACCCGGCCTTCTTCCCCACTGAGACGAGACCAAGTTGTGAGAAATCACATGAAAACAGAAAAAGCACTGGGATTGTGATAGGCACCACCTGCAACTTGATTACAACTAAAATGACAGTATTTTTTTCATATACCAACACAAATTGGCAATACAAATTAACAAAATATATTCCTTTTTGTACTCAGACAGGGTCAAAGGGCATGAAAGAATAAAATTAAATCTGGAAGCAAAATCCAAAATAAGAGAAAATAATGACAGGTCCTCATTTTTTAGTCGTATATCTGAAATTCTGATATTGAATGAGATCAAGTTCGTTCTTTCACAAGTCAAAGCACATTTCCTACCTTCCCACGGCATGAAGTAATCCAGCTAACTCTACTCTCATCCTCATCATGAATTCACTATCCAATGACATGGTTTTTGAATCCCTGATGATCTGGATAGCACTCTTGTATAGATCAATTGCCTCGTTCGCATTTCCTACAGAAAAAAAAAAAAAAAAAAAAAAAAAAAAAAGAAAAGTACAAACTCATAAGATGAATATGCTAACATAGGTGACAGTGATAAGCAAGGAGGTCCATATGACGATCCCAAGCTTTCAAACTTCAATTTTAAAAAATGATTAAAAACAGCATCCAACATAATTAAAGTCAACTGACTGTACCTACTTCAGCTACAATTTTGGTCTAAAAAACTAAGTGCATGAGATGAATCTAAAGACAATGTCTGCCAAGACACAAAAGAGATTAATGAAAAGAAGAAATAAAGGCTACTCGTCCTGAATATTCTCTTTTCTTTTTGTAGCTTTGCATGAAGGATATTCATTACAGCGTCGCACCAAAATGTTACTAGACGTTAGTGATATAACCCGATTCCTCCATTAATTTAGGTTCTCATACAGAATAAGAAATATATCTTTGCGCCTAGGTGAGATGAAACAATGTAGTTGTACGCACAACCATCAACAGGAACGTGGAACTTGATGAGTGTTAATGATTGTGGGTGGAAAATATTGATGCCTAATATGAGTTTAAATAGTCTGACAATTTACCTTCCGCGCATTTCACCTTGGCCAAGTAACACATAGCCATTCCTACTCTTCCATCTTTTTCACCATATGAATTGATATAAATATCTACAACTCTGATCCAAATAGCATGACGCAAAACAGTTCATAGTCAAAACAAATAGAAGAAGTTCTCTATTTCTCACGCATGATCCAATGTACTAACCGACTGAATGTGCATTCGGCATCTGATGTTTTTCCCTGCTGTACTAGAAGATTGCCCAGTTCACATAACGGCAATACCAATGCCTCATCCTCTTTTCCTCTACTAGACTTCAATATTTTAATAACTCGCTGGTACATTTCAATAGCTTCAGTTGCTTTTCCACTATCAGCCAGCACTTTAGCCATTCCCAGCAATGGTGTGCCAAGATAAGGGGTCTCAGTTCCTAAAAGCAAAAACCGAATTTCACTCAGAACCTACTTCATGCAAACTGGTTAACAGAATTGGAAAAATGATGCAATTAACAGTTTCAAAAGCACATCTTCAAACTACAGATTCATACAATTTTTCACTAAGGAAATGGACAGTTAAGTGAGTGAATAACAAGAGCTACAGCATATGATACTAAAAAGGAAAAAAATAAAAAATAAAAATGTTAACGTCTAAGCAAGTACAGACACGCGACCACACAAAGTGAATATAATGGAATAAGCGACATTAAAGATGCCAATCTTCAGCTTACCATATTTCCTCTCCAGGATTTGCTTGCATCTTCTGTAGGAATGAATGGAAAACTCAAAGTTTTCCAACGTGTGATACATACTTCCCATGTGCATGAGTATAATATCAAGGAAAAGCTCGTCATCTCTCAAACTAATCACAATCTCACTCAGCTGGAATAAGATTCAAAGGATCCGAGTCAGATAATAAGTTGACAAGTATGTATTTTACTAAACTATAAATTGTGTTTGGTCAGATAGCAGATGCTGCTTTGGACGAGTTCCAAAGAAAGTGGGATAGACACTGACCTTAAGGCCAAAAAATGTGGTTGCATTGTTAAGGACTACTTCCACTCAAGATCATTTACCACATTAGATTATGAAGAGCACAAGACCTCTCTCGATACATTAAAATTCTTGTACTGACCCAGAAATATAAGAAAACACATATGAAAAATAAGTTACCTCATTCATTAGAGACCCTACAGTCCTGAAATCTCCAAGGGCCATATACCCTAAAGCTATGACATCAAGAACAGCAGCCTCTTCTATGCCTCGAGCACCTGAATCCAGCTGTTCCTTAACAGCTTCATAATTTGCCTGAAGCAAATTCACAGCATCATCTTCTTTTCCTAGTTTAATCATCCTCTTAACTTCATCAAATAATTCTTGAAGTTGCGCTTCTAGATCGGCCAAGCTGCCATGCAGTTCATACACGCATCATCAATAACTTTTCGAAGTGAAGTACCATAAAATATACTTCATTCTCAAAAGTGTGATTTCTTAGATGGAAAACATCCCTGTTTGTAAGCATAAATTATTAAATTCAAACTACAACACGGACCGACAATAATTATTTATTTATTAATTTAAACTTTCCTAAAGATGTTACCACTTCATTCAAATAATCATTTAAAATAAAAATAATTTGGACCCTCCATGGCCATTGTACTAACATTTCAGTTTGGGCGACACAATGCCACAAACGGACAAAAAATCGACATATAGGTGCAAACATTGACGTTGCCAACTCATCAACATTGAATATTTGCATTATTCAGCATCATTCCAATTCAAAATATAAACGAACAAACTAGCGAATAGCCGAATACCTTATTCAAGTATATCACTACAACAAACACTTTTCCAGATAAGCTCAAAACCTAAATTACCTATGGTTTGGGTCCAAATCACCAGAAGATAAACGCTGTTCGGACGAGCTATCCACGGCCAAACCTCTCAGCCGTCCATAGAAACGGCTAAATGGCACCCTATAAAGCCTAAAATTACACCTCGAAATCGAAACTTTAGCTGAACAGGGACACATAAACAATTTCTGCAATTGTAAGTGATCGGGATGAGTTTTCAGGTACATACGAGTCATCCTAGAGGAAAAGGAAAAAAAAAAAAGAAAAAAGAAAAGGAAATCAGTTCCAAAAACACCAGCTTAGTTACTCAAAAATCCAAAATCATGAACGAAAAATAAGGAGAAAACGAACTGCAGGTATATATATTTGTAGAAGAATTGTACCTGAGAGTGGCCAATGTCGAGGAAGAGAAGAAGGACGCCATTAATTCTGCTGGTGAAGCTTGCGAGTTCGAAGTAAGCTTAGCCCCGCTATATAATATCGGTAGGTTGCAACAAAAAAATAATAGATAATTAATAAGGAAATGAATATTAAAAAATAACTTGTGTTGGGTTAGGGCTCTTTGGGCTTTGCGCAGAACTTGTACGCCCTTGATTATCCACAAACCAAAGGCCTTTTTTATGTCTACTTCTAAGAACTTTTATAAAATACCACATTCAAAAATACAAATAATATAAATATAAATAATATATGTGTAGACGACAATGTAATCTCCTCAAAACTAAATAACCTCATATGATTGGCTGAATTTATATAAAATATTTATTTAAAATGTTTTGCTTCTTATAAAATAATTTTTCACGCGGATAAGTTAAATGTATCTTATTGAATTTATTTAAAAATAAGTGATTAAAATGTTTTTATAAAAAGAGTAGTGACACAGGTAACATCTCTATAAATGATAAAATTAAAAGATCCCACGAAAAAAAATGATTTTTTTCAAAAGTTAGAGAAATTATGAATGACCAACATAATCAGTACTTCAATTCTGCTGAAAAATTCCAACTAGTAAAATAAATTTGCACCCCTTTGTCCCAAACCAAAATTACCAAACTTAAACTTTGCAAATTTGAGGCTCCTAGGCTTTCCAAAAAATAAACAAACTTTTTAATTCATATTTAAACATGCATTGGATATATATTCATATGAGTGAATTCATTGCAAATACATCATTTGCAAACTAGATATATACAAATCAAAATGGGCACACAAAAAAAATAAATAAATAAATAAATAAACTTACATCAGGAGAATCATATGCATAAATGATAAAACGTCATAACATAAGCTTAATACAAATTTTTAAAATCAAGTTCCCAACACATCTTGGCTAGTTTGTACATTCTTACAAAGTGACCAAAATCACCAAAGTCGAGACCATTCACGAAAACTGTTGCTTCCTATCGACTTTACGCGGATCAACGTAAAACTCCATGACAACTAATGGCCATCTTCCTCGGCTGGAAATTTTAAAATCGATTCGAAAAACATAAGTTAGATCCGTGTAATATCACGTGCGTGGGAAATGAGTGTGCAATATATATGCAACATGAGCAAGAAACTCAACTATCTTTGTTTCTATTCACAAACTACACCCACAAGAAGATACTAAAATACATAATCCAAGGCGCTGTTTGTAAGAGCTTACGGGTTATCAATATCAATATATTTCAAAACTAATGTAATTAGACTGAACCTCAGATGTAACTTTTATTAACCCTTTTCTCTATCCTTTAGTTTGTGGGGCGTTTGTGTGTGTAGAAAGAAAGAGAGAGAGAGAGAGAGAGAGAGAGAGAGAGAGAGAGAGAGTTAGAGATATCTTAACTGCTCAAAATAAATCCTTGAAGCAAACTCTGAGCTCTCTCAGCTTGCTCCGGAGAACCTGATATTTGAATAATCTTCTCTGTTGCCTCTGGTCTGTCATCAATAAGTTTCACATTTGCTCCCGAGAGCTGTTTGCGTAAATCAAATTGATTAGGTTCATGAACTCGAGAATCAAAAATATTTATTAGAAACTCTGGAGAACCCACCTCACTGATCAAAGCTAGCTTTCTTGATTTCTTTGCGAGTTCAGATGCCACATAAGGCGATATAACAATTTCCAGTGTACTTCTGGTGACAAGTGGTACAGATATTCTGGATAGAATAAGAAAACAAGGAGAGATAATGATGAGTAGTAGTATACTAGTATGAGCGCAGATAATAATGGCTTTAATGTGAAGAAGATGGGGAAAAAATAAGAGCCAAAATAAGAAATTCCTATTTGGGATTTCATTCAACTATACACCTACCTATTCATTCCGCTGGGCTGTTCTTTGACTCGTTCACTCTCGTTTTGCTTCAGTATTTCAACATTAGGTGGGCCCACATCCTGCAAATTAGGTAAATCATCGAAAGAACTGAGAAATTAATAGGATAGAAGTTTTACAAGTTGGAAAAAACACGTAATTAATAACTCAAGCTCATGAACTTAAACACCATATATTGCAATTATTATATAACAGAATAAATGTGTTGAAAAAGATGTACAGATCTGAACCCTGAAATCATGGTCTGCAATTTTTTCATGATGGGAGCACAATGTAATTAATAACTCGGGTTTAACCACATTAAATCCACTTGAGAGGTTTCGTTTAGTTTCGCGAAAACCCACCTATGTTTTTCAGAATTATTAACACCACCTGACATAGGTTTCAATTTGACAGATTGCACCCTCCCATTGGAAATCTTTAGCAAATATACTTACTTAAAGGAGAGGTATTATGATTTTGAAAGATGACTGGAGTTTCTATAATTGAGTTAAATAAACATCAAGGTAATGTTTGTAATTATAACACTTTATGACTTTAAACCAACAAACAATGCAATTGGGAATCCATGACGAGAAAAGCCTACTTTAGCCTTTTGTGGGGCTGAAGCAGCCGATGAACTCTGAGACATTAAATTAACGGGACCTTTCCCAGCTTCGATTTCAGAAGATGGAGGTGCATTAGTTCTAGAAACTTCCTCATGAAACTCCCGGTATATGTAACCCCGAACCCTTAAGGTCACCTCCACCAAAGCCTCTCGAGCAGCCTTGATCTCCCCAACTATCTGCATATAAGAAAAATTAACATGTTCAAACCGGGATTGAATTAATGGCATGTGCAATAATGAAATTCCTGGTGAGAATATATCAAGAGGCAGGCACCTGATATTAATTGGTAATATATATGACTTGGTAAACAAAATGGCAATCCTCAAAGAATCAAAAGGGCAAACCTGTAAAATCTTATCTGTCCCTGATAATCCTACGGGAAGCTCTTCTCTAGGTAAGATCTTTATATTTGCGTTGCCTATGTTCTCCACCTCAAGCAGAGAACCAATTTCATCCGATTGCAATAGTAACCGAGTGGTAATAATATTTTCCTTTTTCGGGACAAGATCAACAATGCGGTTCTGTATATGCAACAAAGCTTCTTGAGCAGGAAACAACTCATCATCTGGACCCTAAAAGACAAATCGAGTAAAATCAGCTGACAATACTCTCTTGAAAACAAACAAGTTAAAACTAGCTAACATTTTCAAAACTTATGATCCAAAAGTTAAAACGAAGCCGAAAGCCCCCATGCAATAAATATAGTGATTAATAATCCCTAATGTGGAAGGCTTGCCTCATCAGATGATATGATTATTATATGTTCGTCTGAGCCATCAACTAGATCCAAAACCTCAACATTCACACCTATTTCATTTCGAAGCAAATCCACAATCCCATCTGACTCGCTAACAACGCTATCAAGCTTGTCAACAGGACAAAGTATGCGAAACACAATACTATCACCAGAAAAATTCCGAGCATTGTCGGCTAATGTAGTGGAATAACTGTTGCTCCTTGAACCACCCGAGTATCTTGATCCAAAACTTGGCCTTTCAATAGAGGAACACCCTCTTTTGTTGTGTGCACGGAAATCGTCATCAGCAGGGTAGAAATCATCCGGGGGATGCAGCCGATTACTAAATTGGCCTCTGTCACGATGTTGGCTCTCCCTCAAACGTGAAGCTATTACTGCTATAGCATTCTTCACGGCATTAACATCACCAACCACCTATAATAAAGGACCAACTTTCCAATGTTATATACACAAATGAAAAAGTTACTCCCCACCAAGGAGAACTAATATTCACGAGACAAGTGTATGTCAGTTAGAACTTTGAAGAACCTTTCTTCACACATACATCACATCCATTGAGGAGTTGCAAACCAACTGAATACATCACTTTAACAGTTGACTGGGTACAAAAGGAAATGAATAATAAATGAAGGAAACAGAATATGCAAATATAGAAACAAAGAAAGTGGGACATTGGGACTAGAGAATGTCACACGTTTGGTTATTTCGTTTTTCTATTTACTTTTGCAGCATAGGTCCTGAAATCCAGTTAATGTTATCAGCTAATCAGCATAAACCACACTCTATACTTTTAGTCCGTACAAGTCAATTCCTTAAACATGTGAACTACGTCTCACTATCATAAACTTCTAATCCTACTGCATAGATATCCAACACACATCTCAAGTCAGTAATGCTTCTCTTGTCTCACAAGCCAATTGAGCTCATAGATATCCAACACACATCTCAAATAGAGTATTCACAAGTTCATCTGAGCATATAAACCCCTCATTTTCAAAAGCTCCAATCAAAAAAGGTACAAACTGAAAAAAACCTGAACAATCTCCTCCGACATCGCCACACAACGCGGCAAATTATGGTCCCTGGGCAAAATCCTGATATGAGTCCTTGTCTCGATCCTCATCTGCTCGATTATCTTCCCTCCTTTCCCCATCAAACACCCGACATGCATCTTCGAGACCACCAGCCTCGTCACTACTCGACCGCCATTTTCATCTTCCCCAAACCCCACATTATGCCCGTAACCTTCCATCTCACTCTCCACAATCCTGTCGTGTATCAACATTAGTGCTTCCTGCGCAGGCGAAAAGGACCGCATTAGACTATCTTGGTCCCGCCGCCGGGCGTCAGAAATCTCGATAATCCTCTCCTCATCCCCCGGAGCCAGCTCGTGAACATTGACGAAAGCTCCCGTTTGCTGCCTGATTGCTTTGATTATACTGCCGGATTTCCCAATCACACCGTCGACCTTCACGTCGTGGCACAGAATCCGGTAGCTCGTCGTCACCATCGGAGAAGGATCCTGCATTTTCCTTCCCTCACCTCCGCCGGAGGAGCGCCTGTGGTGGCCGTGGCTCGGAGCATAATGGTGGCCTCCACCGCCGCCGCCGTAGCGCGGCTTGCTCCGCGAGTGTAGGGTTTCAGATTCATAGTCATGGTCATAATAGTATCGTTTAGATCTCGATCTGTCCATCTCCCTCATATAAATGGTAAGAATTCCCCAAAAATGAAAATGTAAAAGGTACAGTCCGAGATTCAGTGCAAGTTAGGGTTTCCGAAATCCAAATCCCAGCTCTATTCTCTGCTATCGAGACTCGACCTTTCTTTACTAGAAACAGCATACGGTAATAGATTCGCCATTGTTAATGTGCTCTGAGCTTGGAGGAGCAAAACCCATGATTGGGAATAATTGTATCTGCGTAAATTTTAATTTTACTGCGATATATTTTTGCCTTTTCATCCGTTGGAAAGGAATAAAGAAATCCAATTTGTGTGGGATTTTGCAAACCATTTGTCCAAAAGCGCGAGTACAAACAAAAACGTGTCGTCAAGGAGGACCCTCGCATGGTGCTCTACACGGCGTCGTTTTGTGATTATGGAATGTGAAAATCAAATAATCCTCTTTTTTTAGTTGGAAAATTGACTCTAAAAATCATAAAGTTAATAAATGTGTACTAACTTGTACAATAAATAGGACAACATACCAAGTTGGTTTAAAGTTTTTTTCTCTGGAGACTCCTCTCGGGAGAAAAGTCTTCAATTTTTGTTCTTTTCTCGTTGTTGATTTTATAAAATTCATAAATGTGTACTAAATTGTAAAATAAAAAGATCGACATACCTAATTAGTAAAAAGTTTTTTTTTCTCTCTTCTCTTCGGAGAAAAATCTTCAATTCTTGCCCTTTCTTCATTGTTGTATTTTTCGCTGACTATGTCTCTTCTTCGTCACTCTCTCTTCACCGTCGATAAGGCGGCCGGCACTGAGTTATCGATGAGCGTCCCATCCAATCCTCGACCCCTACCGACTTGGTGCTTTTCCATTATCCATCATCTGGATAATAACTTTTTATTTAGCTAATTTTACTAAATGCTTTTATTATATCAAATAACTTTCAAGTTATCATTCATAAACTATCACATATAAGCTCAGCACTAGTTTGTGAGCTATTAAAGAATCAAGTATAAAGTATTTTTTCATGTAAATTTATCAATATAAATATAACAAGTCATCAATTTACTTTATATTTGGTTAACTATTCTTAATTATTTTTAGTTTTACTTTATTTTATATTATTAAAATTACTAATTATTTTACTAATAATTTTTTTACCACTAAAAGTTTTATATTCAATTATGCATCGCAATGTAATCTCCAAGGGAGAATATTTGGATTACATTTATATGGACATCGGGGAAATTTTTGTAAATTTTCACAGAGGCAGTTTCTGTAACTAGCATACAACTTTCATATCTCCAAAGTTGGGCCGCCCATTAGGATGAGCCCAATCCAATCAGCTTTATGTGCAAATGCTATTGTTTACCACTTGTCAATTTCAATTTTCCCAGAAAGAGGAAGAAGATAATAAAGACTAAAAATAAAATTTAAAACTAAAATTGAAGCCAGCAGATAACTCGAGCTTGCAGCAGCAATGGCGTTATTATCGTCGACGCTCAACAGCTTATCGATTTTACACTGTTCACCAGTAATCTTCCTTTTCTCTTCGTTCTACTGTTATTTGATTTTTTTTTCCTTTTTTGGTTTTATAAATATTTTTTAAATTTTGTGTTGGTCGATTTATTTGCAGAAGATCGAAGTGAAATCTGGAAATAAATGGCGGCCAATCTGTGCTGCTACTAGGTCACAATCACAGGTGAAAATATCCAGTTACTTCGTTTGTAATTTCCATTTTCCTTTTATTTATAGAAGAGAAAAACATTCTTACTTGAAACTTTAAAAATAATTTATTTGGAATTTGATTGATTAAACAGGATAACTCAAAATCAAGAGATTCAGGACGCAGCTATAGGAAAGTGTGGAGGCGAAGAAATTTGGTATGGCCGCAAAACCTACTTTTATACAATTCGTAGTTATTTTTTGTGGGTAAATATCATTAACTGTTAATCATAAAATACATCTGTAATTCAGTTTACTGTGCTTGAGTAGTAGGATATGATTATCTGCAGCGAATATGATAAACAAGATACAGTGTTTACATGAATATTTATTTCACATTGAGGCTGAAATCTGAATGATAAGGATTGGGGTAAATTCGATCCTACCGAGTACCGAGTGTCCTCGCCATTTGTTAGATGACATGTTTGTATGTGTGATCTAGCGGTAAAAAACCTGGTGAAGGCAAAATTTCCCAAGATTTGCTTTTAAGTAACATGATACTTTTTTTGTTCTCTCGGTTGAGACCCGAGAAAAATAATTTCGACTTTTTATGGCAATGGACTTATACCACCAAAATAATATATACATTCAGACCAAAAGAGATGATTTTTCGGTACACGGGATGGAAAGGGTCCCGTTTCTCGAGGAACGGGTCAGAAAGATAAGAGAAACGGGAGAGATTGTGTCGATGGATATCGAGAGGCTGTTACTGTCAGAAGAAAACAGGTTTGCTTTCGTGAATGATGTGGCGGCCGAGGCAAATCGGTACGTGGAAAATAACCGTGATGAGTATGGCTCGAAAAAAGCTATTCTCCATGTCCTAAGCAACAGAATGAATGATCTTGGGTTTAAGAGGTCCGAGGCTTATCTGGAGGGTGACCCTTATAAGCCAGGTCCTGGTTATCTGAGGCAAGAAGTCTTTAATGACTAGAATTGAAAAAAAAAATAAAGGGCAATCTAATTTGTCATTCGAAATTGGATTCTGTTTCTGAATTTGCAGCTTTGGAAGGGGGAACTTTGATCAGTCGAACGAATGTAAGGCTGTGTTTATCTGTAGGCACTATAAACTTGTATGAGCAAAAACAAGTACTATTTTTGTCATTTGTGTCGATAGTTGGGAATACATTCAACTGCAGTCTGTTTGTGTAAGTGCATTGACGAGATAACCATTTTTTTTTGTTCTTTATTTTTTTTTTTTTCTTTTGGGCAACCGATTGAGGTCAGAAGGGGTTTCGAAGGCTGCTTGTGAAGAAACCCGTTTGTAATGTAAGAAACTCGTTTTTTCGTTTTTCTTGGTGCAATGCAATTATGCTATAAAGATTCAATTTTTTACATATGAGAAAGGTGCTTTCTTCCCCTTTCGAGCTTATCCTTTGATAGTGAAGCTTACATTGAAATATCCTTCTTGTTCTGTGCCTTTCTTTCTGCAACTTCCAATATGTATGTATAAATTTGCTTAATTTTACCATGGATCAAAAAATAATTCTTGATAAGAGCATGAAATTAATGAGCTAGAATTTGAAATATTACCAAATATCCCAGACTTTTGGTATTTTTAGACCAAAAATTTGGTGAAGTGGATATGACAGATTTACCTAGGACATATGTTGAGTGGGGGGAAAATAACCACAAATTAAATGGCAAACCACACATTCTCAACTTAGATAGTTTTATTATTGTTCATCTTTTTTATGATGAGTTAGACAGGTCCAAATTAGATATTTTTTCACTAAATATGTTTACTTTTAAATTAAAATGCCATATCCTAAGAGATAATATAAACAAAAAGATGATAATTAGATCAGTCTCCTATGAAAATTTGTGGTGTTCCAACTTACAGTTCCTAGTTTTCACGGGGGTGAGATTGGTGGATTGGCTTAAGGAATAATTTTTCCACTCTTAAGTGGCATTTGACTCGTAAAATTAGCAAAAGTCATTAATGATTAAGCATTGGCTAAAGTAGATTGATCCATTAGCAAGAGGGAATAATGTTTTATGCACTCATAAGTGGAATTTTGATCGACTGCATTAGCAAAAGTCAATAATCATTATACGGCTAATAGTGCAGTTTAACTTTAACATGTTCGCTGCTATTAACACAGTAGTAATAACTAACAACATGCAGTTAAACTAGCCCATGCACAAACAACCTGAAGGTATCTCTCTCTTTCTTTTTTCTTTTCTTTTTTTTTTTTCTTCCTAAAAGAAATAACAATAATTATTCTATAAAATTATAACAGCTTAATATAAAATTCTATACTTCACAGATAATAGTAAATTTTACTAATCATTATGGACGATCAGGCAAGCAGTGAAGAAGTCAGAAACTATTATTTATAAATGTGGTGTTATTATTGATACAAAGCACATATTGCCCTCATATTTAAACCTCTTATAAAATTATTTTTGCCTGCATTAAGTAGGCTGAAAATATAAATAAATTCACGGGTGTCCGCCCCCGCCCTTGTGGTTTGAATTGCCGCGATCTCCGTAGTAGTCTAAAACCGTGTCGATTGCCAAGAGCTTTCTTGAATTTTTTTGAACTCCCTGCAAACAGAAGAAGAAAAATTTGTGCTACATGACGTTAATGCAAAAAAATTAAAATTCAGAACTATGATGTGACAATGTGTAGAGATTTTCTTTTTTTTGGTACCAATTTAATCATTCCAAAAGCAACAGCCACAAAAAAAAATAAAAATAAAAAAAATAAGGCACTTTTTATATCTCTTGCTCTGCTTCTAATTTGATTTTTACAATTTAACAAGATATTCAAAACTTATTTACCATATATTATTGTATGTTACTTAAACATCAAAAGATTAATTAGTCCATATAAAATTACCTTGTGAGGCAGGTGAACAGAGTTTATTCCATTGTGATACACCTTAATTATCCCTGTTGTTAGAAGAGAAGTTGACTAAACAAGATCAGACATTTTATGTCATATTCAATACACAAACCGTTGTTAAAAGTGCGTAAATACTACATTTCACTCGTTAGATTCATGTCGATTACCTGGAGAGACGAGCATAAACAGCAAAAGGGAAATCGCGAGTAAACCTTTTATCCTTGAATCCATAGCTTTATAATCTTGTTATATGATTAGAAGTATTCGAATTCGAATTACCTATGTTTTGTTCAAGCTTTAGGAGGGAAGAATAAGGTGCTTTTTATAATGCAATCCCAAAGTGCATCCCCCCATGAAAGGTGTTTGCTTCTGTTCCCACCCACCACAAATATTGCTGATATACAATGATGATGAAATGCATTTTCTCAAAACATGAAAGTCAACTCTTACTTTAAGTCGAAAATGGCGTTACGTCATCTTTCGTGAGTGGTGGTTCGGTGGAGTATGATGGTTATTGCTACGAAGAAATCTCGAGTCTCAATAGTCAGATTAAGAACTAGAAAATCACTTTGAAGTGTTCATGCATGTGTGGTCTAATGAGGTTTGATGGTTGTTGCTATAAAGAAATTTCGAGTTTCAATCGCCGATTAAGAACTAGAGAATCACTTAGAAATCATGTGTTGGGACAAACAAATAACGAGTTCCAATCGTCGATTGCAGACTAAAGAATCACTTTAAAGTCATGTGTGGTCTGTTGCTAGAAAGAAATCTCGAATTCCAATCGTCGATTTCGAATTAGATCAAAATCACTTTGAAATCATTTGTGATCTAGAGAAGTATGATGATTGTTGCTAGAAAGAAATCTCGAGTGCGAACTAGAGAATTGCTTCAGAGACTATTATGTCGAGTTCAATAATATGTCACGTGCACACGTAAAGAGTACCAATTGTTTATTCATTCTCCTTCGATGAAAAGATAAAAACGCGTCAAATTATGTAACCCACTTACAGAATTTTTCGTGCATGTGTACATGTATTTTGTATTATTATTATACATTGTGATGGGACCCAATTGTGTACCCTTAATTGGTTTTTTCTTTTAATTTGCCATATTTCGTCCATCAGCTTTTCCTTAAGTCAAACTCTCTTTTTTGTGCCACCAAGTGGAGAATAGCTAGGCTTTGACAACTTATAATGCTGCAAATGTTTCAAGTCTTACATTAATTCAATTGTAGGCTATACACCAAGCGATTTTACCTATCAAGACTTTTAACTTTATCAAAGTGTTCACGTCTTTTCAAACTTGGCACGATTTAAATTGTGATTTGTGTCTATCTACTATTGGTTATATTGCTATGATGGCATTAATATTAAGGGAAATATTTCACATATATCCTATAGTACTATTGGTCAAATTATTATGATTTAAATTGAAAGTCAAGACAGCCCATTAGCTATATGGAAATTTGAAGCGGGGTGAATAAATCAAGTTGAAAGAATAGTTGATATCTAATAAATTAACAGTCTACTATTGTGATTTTTGAATTAAAATGTTCAGGCAGAGACGAAACCAAAGAATTACTTGAGGGGGGCAAAATACATGACATCGGCGTGAGCGGCATACCTACGGAAGTGCTCGAAGATGCGGGCGGTGCCGTTGCGGCAGCAGCTCGTCGGAGATGAGAGCGGTGAGCGCACTGGGCGGAGCCGCGGAGATGAACTGATGAAGGGAGCTGTCTAATTTTCTTCTTCTGCGTTTGTGAAATGTGAAACCCCTACTCCATGTTTGTTTATACAAATTTTTGGTTTGTTAGGATTTTTTGGTTTGGTTTGGTTAATTTTGAAAAAGGTGGTATAGTTAGTTGTTAGTGGGTATATTAAAATAATATTTATAATAAAATAATTAAAATTAATTTGATGTAAAAGTAGGAGAGAAAGATTTGAAGTGATGGTTAGTTAAAATAATGTGAGTGGATGAATATGAATTAAGGTTGATGAAGTGTGTATGAATGATTGATTGATATTATTTAATTATATTGATAATTTTGATGATGGTGGGGTTGAGTTAAATTTGAGTTAAAAAAAGTGGTTGAGTTAAAATGTTAGAATTTTTTTGAAAAATTCCATAAACAAACATGACTGCCCGTTGAAAGAGGTGAAGAGCCCCACAAGTTTTATTTCTCTCTTTTTCCCAAAAATTGCTACACGCTTTTAGTTATTCTTTTTTTTTTAGTAAAACCTATGCTTTTTTAACAAGTTGTCAAGTTGCTGGCCGACCAAGTCCTTTTGAAAACAAAAAAATCTGGGCCGGGGGTGCAAAATTAGATTTAAGTGGGGGACAAATAATTTTTTTTAATACTAATAGTAAAAAAGAAAAATGAGGGGGGGACAATTGCCCCCCTAATAACATATGTAGTATCGCCCCTGTTTCTAGGTGATAAATCTAACTTAATAATAAAAGTATTTGTAAAATCAGTTATAAGTTGAAACAAAAAACTCAAAAGGCATACGTAGAGAAACATATGAAATAAGCTCGAACTATTTTTTTTTAAAAATTATTTTACCAAATCAAGCTTAATAGATCCTGCATTAGAAAAAAATAGAAAAGAATATGTTCAGTAAATCTGATAGTTGATAAGTTTAATTAGTAGCTCATAATTAAATTAATCTCGTCTTGAACTGATATCTTATGACTGATGACTTGAAAAATCTAGCTGATATAATATAAATATTTTATAAAATTGTCCTATTGAAACAAAATTCTCAATAGGCATCTGACATAAATTTGAACATTTTTATTTTTACAATTTCATCTTATCAAGTCATTTTTTTCATACAAAAAAACTTATAAGCTAACTAAATTGAACCATACCTCATAACAAGAAGCCCCTTTAGTAACCCTAACATAAATTCTGACGACATTCGATGGCAACATTAGGTGCCCTCCAATTCTCATATTTATGCTACAGTCTCTTTAGTTAGAAAATATCAATTTTTGAAGAGACAAAAATGGGAAATGACCTAACCAATAACATCAATTTTAGTTTTTCCAATTGGAGCACTAGCCAAAACAAACCGAAAAAAAAAAAAAAAAATAGGTACATAACAAATTCGAACCAAGTACAAGTACTAGGTGAATATTCACCTATTTTTTCAGTGATGGTCTCTGTTAGAATTCACGAGGCAGATTTTTTCTATGCTAAGTCATATGTGCAATGATGGAAGTCACAAACGAATTGCTATCACTCAATTTTTCCCATAAACATACCCATCACTATTACGTTTTGGAACGTGCATTTAACATTGTTAACTTGTTATCAATTGGCCTTCACTTATTCTATTTTGAGTTATGACCCGTGATTTTCTACCTTTTACATAAACTAGTATATAGTAGTGGCAAACTACACATGGAATACTAATTAAAAATCGAAATTCGTCAAATTAATATATATTATCAAAAAGTGAAAACAAATAAAAACATTAATTTATAAGTTTAAATAAGTGATATTTTATAATTTTAAAAATCATAATAATGAAC